AAGCACCCACCTGTTCGGCCAGACATCAATTCTGCTAGCTTTGCTGTGGCAGTGTTATTGATATTGTTGTTGTTATTATTGAGCAACATTGCCGCGTTGTTAATCCCAGCCTCGGATCCAGCACTTGACAGTCTCTCTCCAGCATTTGAAGAACTATCTGAATGAGCCGATGGGGACGCGCATTGGCCGAGAGATGCGCCCAGTGACAAAGGTAGCCCGCCAGTAGCTGCTGCTGCTGCTGCAGCCATGATATCTCGCTCACGACGCTCTGCAGCTGCTCTGCTAAGGACATACTGTGCTGCGAACTGATGTTTCGGGTCCATCCTCATGTGCTCCATATGGTTTAGGAGACCTGCACATGTAAATGGAGGTCAGTACCAATATAGTTATAACAAAAGCATAAGTTTAGGTTTAGGAGAGCTTCTAAGGAAGGTGGGTCTAAGAGGTTGTACTCAAGAAAATTGAAATTCAACAAATTCAAATTGACCATCTTCCAGAATCAGATATAGTACAACCCAGCTCAATTTGATTATATTTTGCAATTTGGAACTATAATGTCCGGCTCATCTGTAAAAACACGTATGCATAGGGAACTAATGGTACATACGTTCTTTCTGAACTGAGCCAAAAATTATAGTTCCTAACTGCAAAATGTAGTTCAATTCTTGTATCGTTTCGATGCAAAGATAATGGATTAGTTGCGCAGCTCACAGAATCATGTTTTGATGCTTGATTCTTGTGGATCAGCTACAAATAATGAGATCCGTCCAAACATCAACCCTCTACGTTCAAGATTACCTGAGATATCGCGCTTTGGAAAATTTGTTACATGACGTCATCAACCGCAGCAGTAACCTTTGGTTTCTTCCACCGTGTTGTCATCCGTCAGGGGGACTTATATTTTCACTGGTTACTTAACTTGAAACTCGGATGAAAGCAAGGTGGAAGAAACCAAGGGCGTCACTAACGCGGTGGATGACGTCATGAACCGAATTTTTCAAAACGTGATATCTCATTAATATTGAACGTGGAAAGTTGGTGTTCGGACAGATCTTATTACTCATAGCCGATCTTCAAAAATCAAGCATCAAAACACGATGCTGTGACAGCGCAGCTGATAGCTTCTGAGGAAGAAATAGTCACGAAAAAATCGATTTTAAGAATCAAGATTCAGAAAAATCGAAATTACAACCAAATTAATATGGCTTTAATAAATTGTTAGACCGAAATCGATTTTTCCCGAAAAATCCGCACTCCTATAAATTCACTCTATCTTGCGAGATAATAACACCGCATCCAATTATAGCAAGCCTCGGGTCTAAGTGATCCGAAGCGGTCAGATCAGGCAGGGCTAATCGTGGACCATTTCCTTAAAACTTTAGTTTTAAAGAAAGCTCTCTCTTTTAAAGAAAGCCCGCAGGACGGGCGTGTTCGTCTCGTGGCTGACGGAAAGGCGTATGTACACATTAGGATGAGCCCGGGAAAGCATTCAATTGCATGGACGACAGGGCTCATTGCAGAGTGTAGATACGCTCTTTATATGAGGATAGGGCGACTTATTGTCCGTTTTTGGGGCGTAAGTGTGTAGGTAGTTTAGAGTTTACGGGCGGACGGTTACCTGACTCGTGAGTGAAGACCGCTTGACAGACGGAACAGGGCCACATCCTCAGGCTGGAGGCAAATGGGGTGGTTTCGGGATGCGAGGCGAGATGTTTGCGGAGGCTGCCCTCGTTGACGTAGTGCTTCGTGCAGACCGGACACACGTGATTGGCAGTCCGCCGCTTGGCCAAGTACGGCATGACGTTGATGTCGCCGGACATTTCAGCGGGAGCAAAAGCAAGAAAAAGGAGGAAAACAAAAGGTAAACGCACAGAAGTCGAACACTGCAATCTTATAAAAGAGCTCTATACATGCAGATCAACTGGATCGCATTTAGCAAAAAGGAACCAGCGCCATAACAGTGTTGTAAAAATGTTGCTTCTTCGTAACGATCTAAAGCACTTCTCAGTAAAGCAAATGCTTTTTGCTCCCTACCAAGAAAATGGTTAATTTTAAAGGGAAATAGTTGTGTAAATTTTAATACTGCACATTATTTTGAGTATTTTTCTAAAGAGAGAAGAAATTGCGCGATTTTGAAAACACTGTAACCACGTTGGTTCCTTTTTGCTAAATGCGATCCAACTAAGTCTCTTAGATATACCGTGAATACATTTTTTCTGGTTAGAAAACAGGAAAAGTAAACTGGTAATTTTATTTTTATTTTATTTGTCGTCAGATTTGCACTGTTTTTCTTGTAAAACCCATACGATTGATCAACAAATCTGAACTTTTCTCCCAGCTTTTAAAATCAGACAGGTCCACCAGACAGGTGGATTGCATTTAGCAAAAAAGAACCAGCGCGATTCCTTTAAAATTGACAATTTTTTGGTGGGAGGCCAAAGCTATTTGCTACTCTGGGTGTTTTCAGATTATTATGAAGAAGAAACATTTTTACAACACTGTAATCACGCTGGTTCCTTATTGCTAAATGAGATCTAGGTAGCTTCCCTCACGAAATATCAAACTTTCTTTTCCTTAGATAAAGTTGTAAATATCAAGATACATGAAAATTAGAAAGATGACGTGAAAAGGGTTGGTATTCAAACATTAATAAACGCATTCCAAAGGCTCGACGCCGCGAGGAGATAGAAAAAAAGTAAGAGAAATATGCAACTACATCTGTTTTCCATGGCGAGTCTTCGCAATTTTTACCCCAAGGCATGCAAACGTCCTCGTCAGCATTTTTTCATTCTTGAAGTTATTGAGTTTCGCTCATTTGAAAAAAACATTTTTTCTTTGAAATCCTCGTTTTTTTCTTACGTATAAAGACCCAGTGCCGACTGTGTGCACTTCCCGTCTTAAATGCCTTCAAAATCTATACCGGTATCTCGGTTTAATTCCTCATAGGTTTATTCGATAGTTTTTTTTTTTTTGAGTGAGTGAGTTCATACGGCGGCGTGGCGTTTGAAATTTAATTTAAAAACGAAGAATCTGAGAAAATATTTTTATTTGAAATTGGTCTTCTCAAAAATGGGGGTTTATGGAATTGTTTCCTTTGATGAAATTACTGCAGGTGAAATTCGGAATTGGACGCGCCTTCAATTTCTATGAGCGCAACACCTGTTACGTGCAGCCATTCTGCCAACCTCACTTCAGCCGGAGTCTACAACCAACTTTGCTATCAGCATATTATGCATTTTTCTGAGAGAACCGCGAATTCCCATAATACAGTATAAAACCGGAATAAATAGAGAGATATATGAGAAGAAAGTAAGGAGAGGAAGAGGGAGAAGGAGAAGGAGACGAGGAGGGGAAAAATGGAAAAGAGGATGAGAGAAAAACCAGAAATAGGAGGTAAAAAGAGAGGGATAAAAGGAAAGAAAGAAGAGAGAATGAAAAAAGTATGTGAAAGAAAAAGATCATGAAGAGAAAGCACAGGATATAGATGAAAAAGAAGGTGAAAGAGAAGGCGGGAACTAAAATGAGGATGGAGAGAATTAAGAGGTGAAAGAAAGAAAGAGGAAGAAAACTCAGGAAGAGAAAACGAAACTTCTGAGGCCTGCGATGAGACAGAAGAGGGTGAAAATGGGGAGGAGAGAATGAATATGAAAGGGAAGAGCAATGAAAGAATAAAAGCAGGGTAAAGGAAGAAGAAGACAGGAAGGAAGAATGCAGGAAGGTGAAAGGAAGAGGGAAGGTATATCAGGAAAAGAAATAGATATTCCGAGAAGGGAATAAAAAGACGAAGGAAACTTTTGAAAAGCTGGCGGGAAAATATTCGAATACTTACTGTTTACTGACGACACGGTGGGGTCCTTGTGATTGTGTTTCATGTGTTCCATAAGGGCCTCCGTGCCGATGAATGGTTTATGGCAGACAGGACAAGCCAGTGCGTTCGTTCCACTAAGCAAAGCTGCCCGCTGTTGCAGCATGTCAACGCGTAACTCCGCTTCCTGGTAACACACAAAATCAGACATTCAAAATACGAACCAAATCAAAAGACTGTCAAGTCCGCTCAAAAAGTGGTGGATTTCATCCTAGTCGATCAAACCTCGTCAAATTTTCCTTGTTTCAAGGATTAGTCTCTAGTCTCCATCTCTTCTTAAACATTTAATGATTCAAAGGGTGCTCTCTCACCAAATTGGTTCCCGTTCGTGAAGTATTATGAATGCCTTCGGCACTTGACATATGACCCTACTTAACAGAAATTTTCTTAAAATTGCCTAAAAATGTAAAAAAGGGCGCGATACCTTTTTGGGAAATGGAAAAGTGGGATTTTACATTCTACCAAACGGAACTAAGCGCAAACTGAGTGCAAAACTCATGAGCCATGGCCATGGGAAAAGAGCAATGTAGACAGGTTTCATGAGTTAAAGCGGACGTCAAAGGAGCGTGGCGGCGGTTTTGTCACCGCTGACGTCACTGGCGCTTTATTATTCCCATTCATTCTTTCGGCCCTCGACTAAGGAGCACACCCCCTCTTTGCCATCTGTCTCTGATTCCGTTTTGCAGAAATATGTCCAACTTACAAGGGACATCCATGATTGGCCCTTCAGGCCGGCACCAGAGACCATAAGGACCCTCCACTCGTATCTCGGCTACGGTGGAATCTTTTCTCTCGGGACTTCAACATTAAAGTGTTGACTCTCCTACATGGTTAATGTTCAACAACGTGTAGGCCGTTTCGTTTTGCGAACAAGCCGAAGTTTGGGAAACTTGTCTGTCTCATGACGTCACCCGAAGCTCATCATCCACCATGTAGGTAGGCCAACAGCCAAAAAAAGAGTGATGACTGTTGCTCTCTTATAACTGTCCATAAGGAATTGTTGAATTCCCGAAAATGAAAGCTTCCACCTGCCGCCAAGAGGCCAGTGGAGGGTCTCTTACAGAGGCAAGAGACCCTCCACTAGTATCTTGGCCATTGTGGAAGCTTTTACTTTCGGGACTTAAGCATTCTACTGTTGACCCACCTACATGGTTGATGTTTAACAACGTGTTGGCAGTTTCGTTTCGCAAACAAGCTGAAAATTACCGACATTTGGGAAACTTGTTTGGCTCATGACGTCACCCGAAGCTCATCATTGAGCATGTAGGTAGGTCATCAGCCGAAAAAATAGTGGTGGCTGCTGCTCCCTTATAACTGTCCATAAGGAATTGTTGAATTCCCAAAAGTTAAAGCTTATCTTGTCGCCGAGAGGCCAGTGGAGGGTCTCTTGTCTCTGGCCGGCACTGATGAGGAGAAAAGCTCCCAGAGCCAAGTGGCCGAGCGGCAACAAAGGAGAGCGATAAGAGCATAAAATATTAAAATTAAATCTTATTTTCTCGGTCTCTCAAAGCTATTTTTATTCGCGGAGATTTGCCGAGCGGAGCGCTGTTTGAAATTTCCAAGAGCAAGCGCGATCGGGAAAAGAGATTATTGAAAGACATTGCCCGCAGGACGAAGATGTGCATTTGATGCAAGACGGGAACGTTGCCGATTTTCCTCGATTTTGCCGATTATTTTACCCCCGCGACCCGCGCGGCGCTCTCATGAGTCGTCGGGCCGGCGAGACGGTGCCGAAAATAGACTCCAATCTATGATCGCGAATTTTTTTTTCTACTTTCATCTGTCACAGTGGCTGCGTCTCTGCAAAACGCGGGGACAACATTTATTTAAAAAATAAGAGATTTATCGGGAAATTTACTTTTATGCTGCGCGTCAATCTAGGATAGGGATTTTCGTTTTCTACATCTATCTGTCACAGTTTCTGCGACTCTGTAAAAAGCAGACAATATTAAAAAAAAAAAAAAAAATCGGAAAATTTAATTTTGTATATTTCCAATTTTGGGGCCTGGAGGCCGAGGCGCATAAGTGCAGTTTTGAAAAAAATTGAGATATCAATGATTTCAAGCAAAACTAGTCTCGATGCGTATTCTGTGACAAATTCGCCTCCCCCCAATTCCAATTTTTAAGCATCAAAAAGCCAGTTTGAACTTTCTGTCCGCCGCGCCGTAATGATCCGTGTAATTTCGGAACTTCAAACACGTATTTCTCGAAATGGCAAAAACTGCACTTATGCGCCTTGTCCTCCAAGCCCCTTAATTTATTATTTTTGTTCTTTTTGCCTTTGTTTTTCCTCTAATTTGTAACCGTCCATGAGAAATGGATATTATTACAGAAAAACTCCGAATTGAGTTGCTGGTGCAGGTACGGCTGCACAGATCGGAGTTATGGATCAAGTGTGAAAATGAAACTTGATAAAAGAACAAAACGGTAAAAAAATTATTTTCCCTCTCGATTGAATGAGAATTACCTCAAATTGCTTTTAAAAATTCTCAAAAAATACCAAAAAACTTGGTTACTTAACGCGCTACTCGACGCTTCCCAACCTTCGTTACACATGCGTAATGATGAACGAGACACCCACCCATCGTCTGAAGTGTCACATGACGTCATATAATTTATGAATGATCTCATCTAATACAGTGGCGAGGCAAGAATGATCGATTATCGATATCTTCCCATTCGATTCTGTAGTAAATAATCTAACATTAAGATGTTCGTGACGCACATCCTATTTATCGATCCTTTTCCATAGGTTTAAATGGCAAATCAATCGATACATCGGAAAGTACGCTACGCCACTGATCTAATAATGAAATAATAAGATTGCTTTGCTAGAAACCGCGGATGAGTTGCTTATTTATTGATTGCGGGAAAACCTTGCAACTCCGTTTCTGCGCGGCGTAGGCTAACGACCTCAATTGAAGGGAGGGAGGATAAAAATGCGGAGAAGGTGAAGGACAAAGGGGAAAAAATGAATAAAAAACAGACAGAAAAAAGGGAGAAAACCTACTTATAAGATGCAGAAAGAGTTAAATTTATAGAAAAAGAGAGAAAGCCACAATCGGAGAACAATGCATTCGGAATAACGAAATCCGGTTTTTCTGCTTTTTCAAATCAATTTTCTCTCTCTCCTTCCTTCTCTCCCCGCCTCTGTCACCCTTGAGGTTTACAAAGTGCATGCACACATGTTTCATTTATCTATGGGTAGGTATTTTAAATACGTAAATGCCCTTGTACTTTTACTGACAATTCTGAGTTACTTACGACTTCTCAAAGGGACTGAAGTCAGCATGAGAAAGGATATGCGTTGCATCGAAAGATAGCATGTTGGCCAGTAGTTAGTCTTAGATTTCGTCGTTAAAGGCACCATGCTCCACGCACAATTTTGAAAAATACTATGAGAGAGCACATAACAAATGAATGACTAAAAGGTCTGGTAGTTGCTCTGAGCTCTGAAAATGAGTTAGTGTGAGCAATAGAAGGATAAAAATATAATTAAAATTTAACTTTTTCAAATAATAATAAAGAACTATAGCTGCCGGCTCGAACAACCAAAATTTAAATTTAATAATTGAATTTGATTAAATGTTTAATTTTAATTTACCTCAAAACGTACTATTATATCGAGGCTTTGAATATAAATGTACAGATGCACAAAAATTATCTTTAAATCCAACCCAATTATTTTTAATTTAAAGAAATGTTTTTTTTTTAAACTATGCGCATTGTCAGTGAGGTCAAACTAGTTGAGCATAGTAGTCGCAACAGATTCCCTGCNCTGAAGTGTCACATGACGTCATATAATTTATGAATGATCTCATCTAATACAGTGGCGAGGCAAGAATGATCGATTATCGATATCTTCCCATTCGATTCTGTAGTAAATAATCTAACATTAAGATGTTCGTGACGCACATCCTATTTATCGATCCTTTTCCATAGGTTTAAATGGCAAATCAATCGATACATCGGAAAGTACGCTACGCCACTGATCTAATAATGAAATAATAAGATTGCTTTGCTAGAAACCGCGGATGAGTTGCTTATTTATTGATTGCGGGAAAACCTTGCAACTCCGTTTCTGCGCGGCGTAGGCTAACGACCTCAATTGAAGGGAGGGAGGATAAAAATGCGGAGAAGGTGAAGGACAAAGGGGAAAAAATGAATAAAAAACAGACAGAAAAAAGGGAGAAAACCTACTTATAAGATGCAGAAAGAGTTAAATTTATAGAAAAAGAGAGAAAGCCACAATCGGAGAACAATGCATTCGGAATAACGAAATCCGGTTTTTCTGCTTTTTCAAATCAATTTTCTCTCTCTCCTTCCTTCTCTCCCCGCCTCTGTCACCCTTGAGGTTTACAAAGTGCATGCACACATGTTTCATTTATCTATAGGTAGGTATTTTAAATACGTAAATGCCCTTGTACTTTTACTGACAATTCTGAGTTACTTACGACTTCTCAAAGGGACTGAAGTCAGCATGAGAGAGGATATGCGTTGAATCGAAAGATATCATGTTGGCCAGCAGTTAGTCTTAGATTTTTTCGTTAAGGACACCATGCTCTACGCACAATTTTGAAAAATACTATGAAAGAGCACATAACATATGAATGACTACAAGATCTGGTAGTTGCTCTGAGCTCTGAGAATGAGTTCGTATAAGTTGTAGAAGGATAAAAATATAATTAAAGTTAACTTTTTCAAATTATGATACAGAACTATAGCTGCCGGCTCGAACAATCAAAATTTAAATTTAATAATTGAAGTTGATTAAATGTTCAATTTTGATTTACCTCAAAACGTACTTATACCGAGGCTTCGAATATAATTTTATGAATGCACAAAAAATATCTTTCAATCAAACCCAATTTCTTTTTAATTGGACTGAATTTTGCAAAAAGGAACCAAGAGCATTGCAATGTTGCTAAGATTGTGCAACTTCTCTTGCCTTGGAAGAAAAACCTGGTCATCTATAAACATTTTCTATTTCACACGCTAAAAACTGTAAATTTAAGACCAAAATTACCATGTAAATTTCATATTTTTGCATGATTACAGTAATTT